TCAAAGGTAAATTTTTTGGACCCTTGTTCAGTTTCTTTAAAAGACAAGGAGAGTATTCTCTATAACCAAACAAATATATATATATATATATATATACACACACCAATGAAACTAAACTTCTATGCATTGGGCAATGCCCACTTTTGGTGTAGGTCAAGATTTCTGGAAACCCCTGAATTCAGGGTTAGCCCGCTTGTCCTTAAAAGTGACTAAATAATTGAGTTAACGTGGGTATAACCGAATGATTGACAAATGGTAACATACATTAGTTGAATAACTCTCGCCTCTCACTAACTAGACACAAAAAGCGAACTGTTCATGTGATTACTAGGGCACGGGTCAACGCTAAGGGCATGCACTTCCACCATGTCAAGGCAAATTGGAAAAAAAAGTCAAAACCATTATTGAGTTATGTTATTGATATGATGAACATGCTCATACAGAAAGCTGGTGTCTTTAAGACAGTGATTTATCCCACCATTCACAGAAAATAGCCATTAGACATTACAGTGTTTTATAAATATATAATACATCTGACACGAGAATATGAGGGCTGCGATTATGAAGAGGATAGGACAAACGAAATGTGCTTGTTATGATAAATTACACGTCCGTCTACATTAAAAGATGCACATAGCAATATAATAAACCTTTCTCCGCTCTGAAGGACATCATTTACGTCCTGTGTTTCGGATTTTTCAGGGGGAAGTTCCTTTCGGGAAACAAACAAACAAAATCATTTTTCTCTATTGTTAAGTTATTTAGCCATGCATTATTTTCGAAACAGTGGTGCTTTAAAAAAAAAAAAGTTTAATATCTAGTACGAAAAAATTTCTGCAAGCGAATCACTTTCTTCACATATTCACGATATTGTTTTAAAATAATACAAGTTATAGAAAAGTACGACCCTGTTTTCTATTACAAAGGTTTGCTCTATATTAGAAAAAAAAAATTTCTCAGAGAAAAAAAGGTACTTTATCAACCATGCCTATTCTTCTTTACCAGAATAAAATCTAAAATGCCGATTAAAACAGAAACAAATAAAAGAAAAAGAAAAATTATAAATACATGGATGAATTTAAAAAAAAAGATTTAAAAAAATAATAGATTTTTTTCCTTCTATATTCATAAATGACAACGATCAACATTGTTATGTACGAGAAGACATAAACATATGATGATCATAATCATCATCATCATCAACAACAACAATTACAACAACAACAACAACAACAACAACAACAACAACAACAACAACAGGCAGCAATAACGTTCCTAGAAAAATCTTAGAGCGAATAATATTGTTAAACCAAGCAAAGAATGAGAACTCACTTGTACAAGAAAAGATATGAAAGATAACTGAAACAAG